CTCTCTCTCTCTCTCTCTCTCTCTCTCTCTCTCTCTCTCTCTCTCTCTCGCGCTTGATACATAAAGCATCTATCTATCTATTTATCCTATCTCTTTTTCTTCTTCTTCTACGCAACAAATAAACTAGCACTTTATAAATTTAGCATCTTTTTATAAAAGATATGTAAAATTCACTGTTTTGTCAAAGTAGCGTCCTCTCTTACTCTCCATAATACATGACAATGAAAAGCCTCAATAAAAAACCTTTACTATATATACATATATATATATATATATATACGCACCTGCCACTTCCGGAATTCGCCGATCTTTATAAAGATCCCCCAGAAAGAGGCTGTTTATTAGTGTCGACTTGCCAAGACCGGTCTCACCCAAAACCATCAAAGTAAATTCGAACCCTCTTTTCACTGATTTTCGGTGCACTTGTTCCGGTAGTGTTGCAAAGCCGATATAATCCCTGTCTTATTAAGCGAAACACAGCAGAAAATCATTTTAATAACATTATTATCTGATATCATAAAATAATATTATATAACAATCCTTATACATGTGTGTGTGTAAGAAAAACTTCAAATATATAACAAAAGTTATCTCAACTAAAGGTTGCTCAGAAATTATCATTAACTATCAGCAATGCAGTGTACTACACGCGCGACATCAATACATTCACTTTTTCCTGAATAATTTACAATAAAATGAGAAACATGCCGATTTTCTTTTGATGTATACAGTGACTTAATAAACATGATTTCTATTAGTAAAACTATAAAGTATTTTTGTGAAATAAATTGATATGACTTTATTGTTATAATCAAAGTTTACGTACCACCAGACATAATGGCTACATCTAAGGTTGTTTTAGTGTGACGACAGCAGAAACAGCAGGCGGGTGTCAAGCAGTCACACTACGGCCGAGGGCAGTTTGCACTCATGAATGCTTCTTGCGCTGGCGCACTGTCGACCAGCCGATCAATAGTCGTTCTTCCTTACGAATACACTCGCCAAGCTCTATGAAGAGGTTAAGCCGAATCGGGTTGGTCATGTGCATAGCTTGTATAGGATAAATAGCAACATTATTAGCACTCGCTGTCTTTCTAACGGTTACACAGTCGGAGATATAATTGCTCACCGACTGCGTTTGACCGACGTGTTGGCGACGCTGGGTTGATTATGTTGCACAAACCTCATAGGCTATAATAATTATGAAACAATAGTCACACAATTTATAATTATTTGAAGCGCTTAATAATGTGAGATTTGTTAGATATATTTTTTGCGCGTACTTTTTAACCATAATTTTATTTAATAACACAGCCACACAAAAAAAAATTTCTTTGGCCTGGGGATCAGACCATGTTTATTATATGTTTTTGGGGTCGCTGAATCCGAATCCGAGGTCCATTAAACCCTATCGGGTCGGGGTTCCGCCATAACCTCAAAAAACACCATAAT